TAATATAGCAGGATAATAATAAGATAGGAATATTCCTGAGCAAGTGAATGGAGAAACTGAGACAAGAAAATTAAACAAGGCCAAACAGTTTGGGCAACTTGCAGCCAGCTTGTAAAGTGCAAGATCTTATCTTCTCCAACCAAAGACAGTTGAGAGCAAATGGTCAATACCTCTCCTCCCTAACCAGAGAATACATAGCTTAAGTCAACCTGGTCTGAGAAAACAGAGAACAAAGATTGAATTAATACCATTTGTGCCAACTAAACTCAAGAACAAATATCACTTGGGGGATGTTAGGGCAGGAGGAGGGGAGGGAAGAAAAAGGGGATTTTATTTCACCCACTGAATAAAGAAGGCAGCAGTCTTGGGACTTGCCAAGATAAAACTACTAAATGTTCTTAGAAATTCTGGGAAAAGTCACAACAAAGTAAAAGGGGGACCTTGAAATCTAGTCTGTTGCCCAAGATATCTGGCAGAGGAACCTTGGAACCTGTAGACAGAAAAGTATAAAATGCTTAAACCTCCACCGGGGGCACTCAGACCAGCTGGGTTGCCCACTTGTGCTTTTGACAAGTGTATTTTTAAAATTTGCTTGCTTTGCTACAACATTGTGGTCTATCACTCATCTGAAATCTTTCTTATGAGATTGACTAGAGCTGAGGAGGGAACAGCCCTCCTCTGAGTCAGGGGGCCATCCAGTAACAGTAACATCATAGGTGAATTTTATTCTCTTATCTTTTATAAGTTTTATACACTGAGCTTATATTTTTATAGAAAAATGTTCATATATATGAAAAGTATAAAAAGAACAAAGATTATTTTACAAATAAAAAATTTGTCTGTATATATGATGGGTTACAAGAAGATAGCTCTTCCTACATAGCCATTGATGAACTGAAAAAGGAAAATGAAAATAATACTTAAGAGAAAAAAATCCACATTGGAAATTAACCTCATAAGATATAAATTTGTGCCCAGCTGGTGTTGCTCAGTGGTTGAGCATTGACTTATAAACCAAGAGGTCATGGTTTGAGTCCCGGTCAGGGCACATGCCCAGGTGGCCAGCTCAATCCCCAGAGGGGGTGTGTAGGAGGCAGCCGATCAATGATTCTCTCTCATCATTGATGTTTCTTTTTTCTTCTTTCATCATTGTTTCTATCTCTCCCTCTCCCTTCTTCTCTGAAATCAATAAAAATACTTAATATAAATTATATATATATATATATATATATATATATATATATATATAAATTTGTCAATTAAAGGTATCAAAAGAAAGAGAGAATAAATTATAGGTTGTGGGGAGGGGAGAGCACTGACATAAACAAAAGAATGCCAGAAAAAGGCAAGAAAGTTTAATCTTGAAATCAAATAATTTATCAGTGAACTTATGCTAACATGGTTTTCTCGTTTAAATTATAGTTTCAAATACATCTGAGACTGAAAGTAGAACTGTGATTGCCAGGGGCTGGAGGGAGGGAGAATAGGTAATGAGTATGTAGTTTCAGTTTGGAAAGATGAAAACAGTTCTGGAGATGGATAGTGAGGATATTGCACAACAATGCAAATGATGCTTTTCAGAGTCGCCACCAGGCCCTGGGAAGCCTCCCAGGCCCCATTTCCTGGAGGTTGGAGCGTGGCTGCGGACAGCTCCCTGGATCAGGCCTGATTTTCAGTGGTGCCCATGACACCAGCTTGTCAGTCACCGGGGCAGAGGCCTACCTGGTCCAACAGTTTTTTCAGGGCTGGGAGTTCCCAGAGCATCAAGAAAAAAAGCCCCCACCGCGGGGGCTGCCGTGATCCGTGCCCCACCAGCGGCTTGCTGGGTGACCTTAGGCAAACCCCTGGGCTTTACTGAGCTCACTATATCTAGGTGGCAAATGAACGGGGTTGGGTGAACATCTTTGAGATCCCAACCAATTCTGGCTTCCCAACTGCAGCTTCCATTCAATTGCCAGGCTCCCCAAAATCTTTTTGCACTGGGGCTTGGGACGTAGTGCAAACTTCCCACAAAAGTAATGCCTCAACGTGGGGGGTGAGTGGTTAGAAGAGGTTGGGAGGTCTCCCAGGGGAATGGGAAGAGGGCCCAAGGCCCAGCTGGCTCCATCTCTGAGAAGCCAAGAGAGGTCAATGGGGCATCAATTCTGAGCCTTGTTGTCCAGAGGGGATTTGACTGTGGCTCTGTCAGGGGCAGTCATTCCTATCCTCAGGCCCAAATCCGGCGGTTGGTCTCTCTCCAGGGCCATTTCTAGTGGATTCCAACCTTTCCGCCCTCCCACACTGGAGGTTTTCATTAACTGATTTTGTAGAAAGCAGAAAGAAAACCGCCTTCTCTCAAGCTCACACGCTTCCATCCCCAGCCCCAGATTTAAGGCCTACCCAGATGGTTTGGGACCCTGGTGTCCAAGAAAAAAGAAAGAAAAACTCATTTGAACCCTGTAAGACACAATTACCAGGCTGCAAAGCCACCAGAGTTCCTAGTAGGACTAGTGTATTAATGCCACTGAACTATCCTATATAATACGGAGGTAATATGCAAATTGACTATCACACTCTCACAAGATGGCTGCCTATGACCAGGCCGGCAGGGGGGTTAGTGAGGGATGATCAAACAACTGAACAGCAGGCTGCATGGGGTGGACCAGACCGGTGGGGGGCCTTGAGGGGCGACCAGGCCAGCAGGGGGGGGGGTGACCAGGGCCGGCAGAGGGGGTAGTTGGGGGTGTCCAGGACGGCGGGGGGGGGGGTAGTTGGGGGCGACTAGGCTGGCAGGGGGGCAGTTAGGGGCAACCAGGCTGGCAGGGAGGGGGCAGTTAGGGGTGACCTGGCCAGAAGCAGGGGGAAGTTAGGGGCGATCAGGCCAGCACGCAGAGGCAGTGAGGGGTGATCAGTCCAGCAGGGGGGGCAGTTAGGGGCGACCAGGCAGGCAGGCAGGTGAGTGATTAGGATCCAGCGGTCCAGGATTGTGAGAGGGATGTCCAACTGCCGATCAGGCCTCAACCGGCAGTTGGGACATCCCCTGAGAGGTCCCGGATTGGAGAAGGTGCAGGCTGGGCTGAGGGGACCCTGGCCCCTGTGCACGAATTTCATGCACCGGGCCTTTAGTCCTATATAATAAAAGCCTAATATGCAAATCGACCGATCGGCAGAATGACTGGTGGAACGACCGGTTGCTATGACATGCACTGACCACCAAGGGGCAGACGCTCAATGCAGAAGCTGCCCCCAGCCTGCAGGCCCGAGATCAGCCAAGGCAGGTGCCAGCAGGGCCCCCCTTTCACCCTGCCGGTCACCCCACAGAGGGAGGCGACCATGCTGGCAGCCAGAGGCAGGACCAGCGAGTGGGCAGCGCCAGGGCCAGCCAAGGCGGGTGCCACCAGGGGCTCCCCTGATCACCCTGCTGGTCGCCCCACAGATTGGCCCTGATTGCCGGCCAGGCCTAAGGACCCTACCCGTGCACCGGGCCTCTAGTACACTTACAATGTTAAATGGTAAAGTTAATGTTATGTGCAACATTTTGGTTTATAAGATATACATATTCAGATGACCAAAATATATTTCTCAGATATATTTGGTCTTCATCCACAGTTCCTGGCTCACAGCTCTCCAACTCCTTGGAATGTCCTAAGTGATGAGAGAGCAACCATGGTGTCTCTTGTTATGTTAATGAGGTGACTTCTGGAAACAACCCCAGGGTAGGGGCTGGTTGTCACTGGAAACCAACCATGTGGTTTGAGGTTTAGAACATTCAGTCCACCCCAATTTTCAGGGAGGGGAGAAGGGCTTGAGGCTGAATCAATGGACAGTGGTCAAAGACTTAGTCAATCATGACTATGTAATGACGCCTTCGTAAAAACCTGAAAGGACAGCTCTTAGACCCTTTTTGGAGAGCTTCCACCTACAGGAACCAGAATGCTACCATGTGCTGGTATCAGCCCCATAAGGCTAGAAGCTCTTTTATTCGGGACCCCCCACTACATACCTCTTTGTCTCACTATTGATTCCTATCCTTTAATGTCCTCAGTAATAAATCCATAATTTAAGTGAGTAAACGGGTTTTCTTGAGTTTTGTGAGCCATTCTACCAAATTAATTAAACCCAAGGAGGAGGGTCATGGGAACCTCTGATTTGTAGCTGTTCGGTACAACCTGGGCTGCAACTGGTATCTGAAGTGGAGGGTGGTCTTGTGGGAATGAGCCCTTTCCCTGTGGAATCTGATCTGTCTCTGGGTAAATGGTGCCAGAATTTAGTTGCATTCTTGGATACCCTGCTGGCGTCAGAGAATTGCTTGGTGATGTGGGGAAGCCTGTACACACAAGATGGAATTTGGTCTGAGAATCCTTTCATTATGTATATTTTACCACAATTTTAAAAAAGAATACATTAAGGTCTGATTTGAAGTAGATTCAACTGATAAGGTATATATTCAGATTACCTCTTGAGTTTTCAGCTTTTCTGAAACAATATTTCATAAAGTTGTGAGCATAATTTTTTAATAGGAAAATTTATAATTATACTTTAACAGCAACTTTTTCTTAATTAGAGGGGTAATTTATTGCATGATTAATAATTCTTCTAATGTAGCCTATGTTTAGTTTTCAAGTATGAAGAAATCATGCCTCATCTATACAAAGGTTTAAAAGTAAAGTAGTCATTAGATTCAAAGAAAAAAGAAACTAGAATTAAGTGAGGTTGCTAGTAATTTTGGTATTTATGCAAATTTGTGGTAAATCAGCTATGAGTATAAATCTCCCCAACAGTAAGCACCATCCTAGAAATTGTGCAAAATATATTTAAAAATTGTCCCCATAGTTCCTGGGAAGAGCCACAGTTTTCCTTAAAATGCAGTGGAAGACATATGGTAATAAAGCATTCTACAAATAGAATTTTTCTACTTTAAAATAATTTTCTAATCACAAAAAGCAAGAAAAAAAATAAAACTTTTCAGGATTCAAATACCATATCCAGTTTTCTCAATTCACTTTAAAAATCTCACTTACCCTTCTAGTGTTTTCAAGGATCTTGGGATCAGGTTTTCCGTAGTTGGGTGGATTGGCATATGGGTCATATCCAAGTTTGGCAAGCATGGGTGCAATCACTGCCATGTCTTGTAAAACGTCTGGAGGTATTTTCCCAACCCATTTTGATAGAGCTGCTACATTGACTGGCTTGATGACTTGGTCTGTTGATCTCTCCACTCTGGAAACAATAGAATATGAATAAATATTTATTTAAAATACAAAAAAACAGTATTCAAAGACCACTGAAAATTATTTTTGATAACTTTAAAAATGTTAAGTGTCTTCATTATAATGTGGGCACTGACCAGGCTTAACAGTATTTACCAGAAATTGTTTAATATGCTAAATTTGACAGTAATTATTGGCAATCTCAGATTTCTAGAAATAGGAAAAAGGATGAGCTGATACCATCTGCACAAAATGTGCAGACATTTTAATTACAATGTTCAGAAAAAAATACAATTGCTTAGAAAAACAGCTAGTCGACTTAGTCGAAATGCACCAAAAAGAAAAAAGACAGGACTGATGAATGACTAGATGGACAGACATGTGATAAAGCAAATATAGCAAAATCTTAATTGTATAAATGTAAAATCTTAATTGTGTAAGATAGTGGGTATAATTCTTTCCATTCTTTGTACATTTGAAAATTTTCATAATAAAACAGTGGAGAGAACCATGATTCACTAAGAATACATAATATTCATGTGTTCTATTTTTCTGTTGACTTCCTGAAGAACTCTACTTTCCAAGGAAGAAAAAGAGGTGCTGTTTCTGACTTTTAATATTACAAAATAAATGTGTTCTACCTCTTAACCTAGAAACCTACTTTAAGCTTATATTGACTATATTCACAATATTTTACTAAAGAACTCATAATCTAAGGAAAAATATAATATAAAATGACATCTAGATACAAATTGGTTCTGAATTAGCAGATTTTGGCCAAATGACTAAAACAAAAGTGCTTAAGAGAGTTACATACCATAACATAAGTCATTCAAACATGGTATTCAAACAAAGGTAACAACCCTTTTTCTTTAAGTATGTGGCCTTTCACTGCAGATAATCACTATCTGATGAGGAATCCCTCAAAGGGGCTCCCTGCCTAAAAAGACAAGAGAAAATGAAATTATTCTTCCCTGGTGTAGGGAGTGGCTATAGGGTTAAGCCTTGGACTGACCTGTTGGCAAAGCCACAAACAAGTCCCAGCTTAGAGGGCACAGCTCTCTCAGCATAATTAGACTTGATCTTATGATGCTCCCTAGATCTTATCTAGGTAGCTAATGGGCTGTGGGAGATGCAGCAAGTGCTGCCAAAACAAGTGAAACTCACAAGAACATTGTAACTATGGTGACCACTACCTTGTTTACCTCTGGCTATAAAATAAAGGCTCAGCTTGCCTCTGGATTTCTCTCTGTGGCCTCAGCCAGGCACAGGAAGATCCACCTAGACCCAGCTTATTCTCTTTGTCTGTCTTTTCTACATCCTTCACCGCTCCCCCTCAGGCTCACCGAACCCTTGGCTGTGCTGGCACGGCACACCCTGGGATTCTGTGAGGCCACTAGCTCCAGGTTTTTTTCCTGCCTCAATAACCAATTCTTTTTTCCTCACTTAAAAATTTATCCCCGACTCCACTTAACCCACAGCTCTCTTCACTCTACACATTTCTCCTAGATGGGTTCACCTCTAATGATACTTGCTTGATCCTTTTCTCTCCTTTTTTTTTTCTTTTTTTGAAGTGGAGGGAGGTGTAAGAGAGAGAGAGAGAATTGATGTGAGAGAGAAATATCAATCAGTTGCCTCCCCCATGTGGCCTGACCAGTAATCGAACCCATCACCTTTTGGTGTTCAAGACAACTCTCCAATCAACTGAGCCAGGGCATTTGCTTGACTTTCTTTACCTGCATGGAGAACATCCTGGCACTAACCAGTTTGGCTCAGTTGGTTGGGCGCAGTCCCATGCACCAAAGGGTTGCTGCTTGGATTTCTGGTCAGGCTCATGCCTGGATTACTACAAAAGCCTCGTAATTTCCCTGCATTTAAATAGTTGGCTTTCAGGCCCAACTACCTAACAGTCCACCAGAATATAAGGAAAGTCTATGTCTTATTAATCTCTCTATCACCAGCACTAGCACATGAACATAAAATCGGTACTCAAAAAATATTTGTTAAATAAATAACAAAAAAACTTTTCATGGAATAAAAAACCTACAAATTTAGTTTGTACAAACATGATCAAGAGAAGTCAAGGATCATACCTTTATAAGGAGATCAACTGACACAAGATGAAATAACTAGAGAATATTCAGGTACAAACTGCATATTTACTGTGGATGTATTAGGAATGTTAGAGAATGAGAGCCATGTCTGCAGAAATAAACATCTCCAGCATAAAAAAGGTTTTATAGTAAACAAAGAAAAACATTTTCTGTTCATTCTATGTCAGGTACTTTGCATATGATATCTCATTTAAACCTTAAAACAACCTTAAGAGAAAGATATTATCAGTCCTCAGTTTTCAAATGTGTAAACTGGGACCTAGAGACAGTTAAATGAGTTGCCCAGAATCACAGAGTCTAGAAATAATGAAGTTAGAATTGGAATCCATATCTATCTGACTCCAAAGTCCCCAGTTTCTCTATTGCCATATTATTGATTATCTTAATTTTTACATTTTATGCCTCCCTGAAAATCTTGGCCTTTTGCCCTGAGTAGAGTGAGCAAGTTGGTTTGCCACAATGGCAGGATCATACAGATGAACTATACATATAATCCGTATATATCGTGCTGTGCTGATACTGTTTAACAGCCTGCTCTCCATGGAAGAAAAGGCCAGGATTTGTTGCATTTACTGATGACTATAGTGGAAAAACTCCCACCAAATGGCTGATTTCAACCTACCAACATGAAGTCACCAACTGCAGAGTTCAGAATAGATGCACAAAATGAGCTTTCTGCAGCTGGGGCAAGCCAGCTCCAGCAGACCACTGGATATCTACAGGGCCACAGTCTCTTGTCCTAATTTGTGAAACCCAAAAAGCTCTAAGAACTAAACATATTCCTGTAACTCATTTAGTAGCAAAACAGGACTTGAACTTATCAGAATCTATGTATAGGCTTTATTCTACTTGATATAAACACTCACACTCTTTGATGAAATATTAATGTGTTTGATTACAGAGTGTTGAGCCAAAACCAACAAAATCCTATATAATAAAAGGGTAACATGCAAATTGACCCTAACGGTGGAATGACTGGGAATGACGGGCTGCTATGATGTGCACTGACCACCAGGGGGCAGACGCTCAATGCAGGAGCTGCCCCCTGGTGGTCAGTGCACTCCCACAGGGGGAGCTCCGCTCAGCCACAAGCCAGGCTGATGGCTGTGAGCGCAGCAGCAGTGGCAAAAGCCCCTCCCACCTCCGCGGCAGCTCTAAGGCTGTCTGTGGGGAGCGAGCCTAAGCTGCAGTCGAACATCCCCCAAGGGCTCCTGGGCTGCCAGAGGGATGTCTGACTGCCAGCTTAGAACTGATACCCTGGGGAGCAGGTCTAAGCTGGCAGGTGGACACCCCCGAGGGCTCCCTGACTGCGAGAGGGCACAGGCTGGGCTGAGGCACCCCCCTCCAAGTGCACGAATTTTCATGCACCAGGCCTCTAGTATCTATAATAGTAAAAGTGTAATATGCTAATTAGACCAGACAGCCAAATGACCTTCCAGACAACCTTCCGGATGAAGCCAGGGCTGCGAGGGCTGAGGCAAGCCACTGCAGCTACGAGGGCCAAGCCCCTTGCATGAATTTTGTGCATCAGGCCTCCAGTGTTATATAATGTGTTATGTAAACACAAGAGGCCCAGTGCACAAAATTCGTGCATTCCAGGGGGTGAGGGTCCCTCAGTCTGGCCTGTGCCCTCTCACAGTCCAAGAGCCCTCAGGGGATGTCCAACTGACAGCTTAGGCCCGTTCCCCGGATATTATTAGCACTGCTGCGGAGGCGGAGAGGCTCCCGCCACCACCGCTAAACTTGCCAGCCGTGAGCCTGGCTTCTGGCTGACTGGCGCTCCCCCTGTGGGAGCGCACTGACCACCAGGGGCAGCTCCTGCGTTGAGCATCTGCCCCCCTGGTGGTCAGTGCACGTCATAGCAACTGGTCAACCAGTCAACTGTCTGCCCCTGGTGGTCAGTACACATCATAGTGAGAGGTTGAGCAGCCTTAGCATATCATTAGCATATTATACTTTGATTGGTTGAACGGCCAACCGGACACTTAGCATATTAGGCTTTTATTATATAGGATATGATCTTTGTAAAATCCAGAACTTTCTGAATTCTGAAACATATCTGTGTTAGGCAATGGAGCCACACATAAGGTCTTGTATGCCATGACTGGGAAGTTGGCTTTATCTTGACAATGTTGGGGGATGATAGAAGGGTTTAATTATAAGAGTGATGTGGTAGAATATCAGCATTCAGTGCTAATAACTACGGGAAGAGTCCACTGAAAGATGGGACAACCAGGATCAGGAAAAACAATACAGATGTTCAAGTATATATTGGATGAGTTGAGAAATTATTAAAGTTTCAACTAGAGCAAATGAAACAGAGCTGGAAGAAAGAAAATATCTATAAATTTTTAAAAGAGATATTTATAAGACTTACTGGCCAATTAGATATGGGGGGAAGTAGGGAAAGGAGTCTAGATGAACTCAGATTTGACTTTAAGGACTGAATGGATGGTGTTATCATTCATTATAATAGAGAACATGGAGGAAAAACATAACGTTGCTTTGTTTGTTTCAGGTGTAGGGAACAAAAAAAAAGAGGTAAATTGATAGTAGTCAGAAAGTTATCAAAGGTGTAAAGAAAAATCAGAGACTGGAATGTAGCATGTGCTCAGTAAGAAATAGCTATTATTATTTTTTTCATCCAGATTATAGCACTGGCTCATAAGTAAAGTGAAAGCCACTATTTACCATTAGGATTGAAGAAATAATTTAAAATAAAGTCCAACCATCTCTTGTCTGAAAGAGATAGAACTCTAAAATAAAAGAATTTGGAAAGCTTTGTTATATAACCAGAGTCACAAGATCCACTAGCAGCAAATGCAGTTACTATGGACTCCTTAGGGGAAGAACTTGGAAGCCTATTGCATATCAGTCAGGTGCTTCTCATTAAGAC